GGAGCACCGGAAAAGTTTAAATATACCATAAATTTCACTACACTTTATTGTATTGACGAACAAAATCTTATTCCTCTCACATTTTTTTTGTCAACTTTGTTGCTTTTGCAACATTTAATTATTGAGGGTGAATAAACGCATATATATATATATATATATATATATATATAGCGGAATCATCTGATGTTAACGGGTGCTTTCAGACTTATTATAATGCTTGCCAAATTGATTGTTTTGAAAATATATCTTTATTTATTCTTTGTCTTGACATTCCTTCCTTTCTTTCAAAAACCTTTATTTTCTGTAAAAATTTTCGTAACTTTTAAACTTTATGTTTCTTTTTAAGACTTTAGGTTGACTTTAGGTAAGTTCCGCCATAGGCCAAATAAATCAGCCAGATTGCCAAGGTCGTTTTATTGGCTGTTTTGTAATTCAAAAGAAGCCTTGATTTAGTCTGAAAGAAGACTGAAGTTATTGTGCTTAGATCATAAAGTCAAAACGAATCATTATAAAGGGAAAACTGTCGTATTTCCGCTTCTTGAAACATTCATTTCTCTGTCCAACTTTTATGTTTCTTCATGTAACCTTTGTTATTGAATGACCATATTTCTTTATGTTTCAAATTTTCATAATTTATAAAAATAAACTAGAAAGATGAATTTCGAAAATCCTGATAAGTGAATTAATTTTTAGATGATTGTAGAGGAAAAATGAAATCTTTTACAGTGTATAACTTTTATAATCTAAGCTTTTCTTCAGATTTAATGTATATAATTTATCGTTCAGTTATAATGAGTTCTATCCTTTTTGCGAATATCTTTTAATTTTCAAACATCCAATCAATGTTTTTGTGCTGTTCACAAGAAATTACTAATTATCCAGTTAATTTGTAAAAATTACAATAATGCTGAGTTCGCAGACAATTACTTCGCCGCATTATATTTTCAGGAGTAAAATAAAAACATTTTATAACTTCCTTAAAGTTAGAAGTGGAAGTGTTGAAAATGGTAGTATAATTATTATTATTGCAATAGTATAATTATTAGTGAATTGGGGTAACATCTGGAAGATGGTTTGTGATATATTAATAATATCTTACTCGAACATTAAATGTGTCAGTTTTTGTTCCACTTGAATTTGACAGCGATACAGAATTTTGACCACCATCACGTTTTTGACTTGAAAATAACTAACAGAAAATAATGATCATATCAGTTATTTAATATCGTCTACATTTTATTTTTTCTTAGAAATAAATATAAAGTAATAAAGTTGTAGTGTTATTATAGTTATTATAGGGTACTTTTTGTGCATCCCAGTTATGGATATTTTAGTCTTTTTTATCAGGATATAGTTCAAGCTTCAGCGCTTTTGAAATGACATCTATTGTTAAGACAGCTATATGATCAAAATTTTTTCTTGAACTTGAAGTTCATATACATTTGGGAATGATCTTAGGGCTGCCATTATGTTCCTCATAATCTGCATATGTGTTGCAATCACATCTCTCGTATACCACTGTGGTGACAATACATGATAACGTTCCAGTTATAAATACATGTGGCATCCTCCATCGTTATTTGTTCAATGGCCGTTCCACTTGGGTCGCACATCCGTAAACATCGACTGCCCACCTGTAAGTTCATTTATATAGTTCATTCATCCATCAAGTTTGATTTATGGTCATATTATTAATTAAAGTGGTATTATGTATGCTCACCTGAAGTTGTGGACTGTTTAGATTTAAATGTATGCAGCATTTGCGGTTGTCACGATTCTGCGATGCACAGTAGAGGATGCTAGACAAATACTCTAAACCGCACTTCCTTTCACGCAATATTGAAATAAGCTGAAGTTTAAAGTGTTGTCAGAGTATTAGCGAGCTGCATTATTCAATTTCCATAATAGGACTTTTTGGAACCATTATCTATCGCTTTTTTTCAAAGAAGGCAAACCATTCATGGATATATTGAAGACATTTCATAAATTTTTTAAATAAATTTCCCAAAATAATTCTTTATTCTTACTGTCTAAGAATTCAACAAGTCGAAAGAATCTATTAAACATATATGAATATTTGCATGTGCATATACAATTGGATGATTTAGGGAATAAATTTTAAGGAAGAATTATTTGATAAATATTTACCAATTCACGCGTAGCATTTTGATTGGTTTCATAAACACACATTGAACGGCATTCTTTTGGTACATAGATATTGCAGCATGACTGGAATAGCTTATCAGCCACACCTCGGCTGGTGCATGGCTTATATCCTAATTCAGCGGTACCGCAGAGAGGCTACAAAATATTGGGAATATCAAATATGCAGTAATACCATAATGATAGTAAAATGGATTTTTTATTTATAAGTATTAAAACCAGTTAGTTCATATTTCCAACACTTCTTGAACTCTTCTTCAGAAAATGACTTCTTAGATTTCAGATAAGTTCAATTTCATTTCAACATTTAGTGCTTTTCCAAGTTTAAATTAAGAATTTGGAAAATATACCAAGGGATGGCCATGAAATGCGGGATTTGATGATCGTCTCAAGTCACTTTTCTCTTTCATGCTACGTCTAAACATCAGAATTTTGCGATCCGGACAATTCGCGAGAATATATTTGAAACAGTGTTTTGGAACACAATCAGATGTCCACCTCATAGAACAACACCCCGATGTTGGGATGTACTGGCATTGCTTTAGCTGCAATCCTTCCTTCCCACTTAATTTATGAATTAATAAGAAAATTGAGTCGGATGTTTTATCGGTGGACAACTTTCAACTTCCCAAGAATTGATTTATTTATCACTTTCAGACTTTTTACTTGTTTCATCATACTTTTTGACCTTCATGAATTAATTAAAGCTTTCAATGTACGCAAGAAATTTGAAACCTGCTGGGCGTCTGATTGCTGAATGAACAGTGAAGCGAATATAAATTGCCATAACATTATCAGAGGGACACGAAATCGAATTTAACTGTAAACAGGAAGATAAGAATGGAAGAATTTATCTTTTTCTTTATGCAATCGCCTTCCTCCTGTTTCTTTTCCCGGACTACTTGAAATGAAGTATTTTTGGAAGCACATTCAACAGGCGCTCAATGCAAATGAACTAAAGTTGGTACCACAAATATTAAAAAAAAAATAAGTGGCGAAGTTGGCGCGGCGGTTTTATCAATTGTCCGGATTATTTGACAATAAAACCATTACGAATTACTTGATTATAAAATCATTAAGAAAGTTTGGTTTTACACTATAAATGAACAACAAGAAGGAGAAAAAGTGATAAGAAGCGAAAAAGGTATATTTCATACGATAAATGTAAGTAAACAGTGGGAAGGAATGAACTCTCTTGTGATATGGAAGGATAAAAAAAATTAAAGAGAACAAATTATACATTTTAAGGATAAGGAGGAGGAGACGTAAATTGATAGAGAGATGAAAGTAAATTGTGTTGAATAAAACTGTCTGAATGAATTGGAAGAAAATTTATCAAACTGTGATAGAAAATGAAACGGTTTTGTTTCAATCTTTCTTTATATGTGGTCAATATTATGGAGCAGGTTTCTTCCTTTTTTATTTTATTTTTTCCCTGCAATAAAATTCATATTTACATGAAAATAAAGTTAAAGAGAATTTAAAGAAAGCAAGTGTTACCAAGCTTACCTATTAGCAGATCTTATCCAAAACTGCTAGAAATATTCCGTTTGAGTGACAATTTTGCTTATGACCAGATTGTATATCTTTTGATAGTGAAAATTGTAATCAGGTTGAAATAACGGAGAATTTTCGATGAAATTGATATTGGGTGTGTCCCAGAATGAACCAAATAATGGTTTGGTGTTAATGTGAATGGTGATGACGATCGCTGCGAATATTTGACATGGAGTGGTAGTAGTAGTAGTCATATGTTCACTCGGAAAGATCAATGAAGAAAAATCTTTTGATGGATAAGTGATCTTTTCCATCTTTTATCATCCAACATCTATTTTGTTCTAATCATAAAACATCAACAACAGTTTTCATCATGATGTGGGAACATTGCCGAAATTATTATAATTGAAGACATCATAAGTCTATTTGCTTTCGACTTTTCTTGTCATTCGTTAACAGTATAGAGAATTAATTCGATTAAAAATTCATAAAGAAGCTTTTCATAATTCATAAGATAATTCGAACTTTAAATTCGTTGAATAATTGTTGAATTAATCTAAAAAAAATTCCAAAGAAATCACTTAGATTTCTCGGATTTGGAAAAGATTGTAAGATGAAAATAAACAAGCCAAATAATTATAATAAAACAAACTATTGATTGTTTTTCCTTCAATGAAACCGCAGTAATCGTTTCACTTAAAGCTTATTGTCATATCATTCATACATTCATAAGTAAATACAAGAAGTGGAGAAGAATTTAAAAAGCACTACGATGACAAAAACAAGTATCAACTTGTGCAGTGTTGATGACCTGTGTAAATTGTATTAAAATAACCCGCTAAAGTATCTAAAGTAAAAGAAAGAAAAACGTATTTATATATTGCAGAGATAAATCTAGGCAATGAAATTTTTTCGAAACAAACTAAAGAAATGATAAATTATTGATATTCTAACTATGCATATTTGATGAATAGTTGAAATTATTTAAAAAAAGAACTACTCACAATAAATTGAACTTTCTTCTCTCTATTTCTCTCGCTTCATTAGTTTAATATAAATTCCACTTTCAACAAATTTATTGCGAAAGTTTCGGTGAAAAGTCAATAAGTACGTAAAAAGCAGCTAGGGGAAATTAACTCAGAAATGGACAAAGTTTGATGCTTAACTAATTCATTACTTAAGAATTAAATTGAGAAATAAAAATACTTGTATTTTCACCACTGTCAATGAAATTTCTACATCAGTGCTACTTGCATTATTAATTTCAAATTATGTTATGAGAAATAACAGGAAAGAAAACGATCAGCATAAATATGCAATTCTATAACACATATTACGGAGAATATATGAAGGGAAATGAAGAGGAAAAAAGAAAAGAGGAGAAATATACTAATCGGCGGATTCCATTTCCTGTCCATCAATTGGATCCATTTCATGTGGCCCAACATAACGACATGATTTTTGACTACTTGTGGATAAAAATGTCCGGTAACAGTTAGCATTTGCTAGACAATCCGGTAGGGCACCTAAAAGTGCCGGTAACAGAATGAGTCCATGCAATAAGCTCCACGATACTACCAGGATGATCGTTTTGAAAAAAACCATTGGTGAATAACTCTGCAATACAAAAATACAAAAAGAAAAGGTTCAGTTATTTTGCAACATTTCTAATCTTTGGTTTTCTAAAATTTTAAATTTTATCAAAATATGGATAAAAATATCATTTCTAAGCAAATTGTAGGTCGTTTTTTTAATGATTCTATAAAATCCAATAGGCAAGTAAAAAAAGTACAAATCGCTTATCACCTATTTGTCATACTTTTTGTTAAGTGAGCCATTTTAAATATTATTCGTTGTTATAAAATAATTTATCAAAATAATTAAAACTTGATTAAGAAATCAATTCAAAGCTCAAAAAAATCTCTCATACCTCGAAAAAAACAAGTGGCAAAACACACATAACCGTTGATGCACCAGCTTGTATCATTGGCCAACCAACACTTTCCAAAGTATGTTTGAGCTTTTCATGTGGTCCTTTAATTGGTATTTTTACAATTTTTTCATTTCGAATTTCGCGTCGATTCGCTAGCTGCAGAAATAACCAATTTTGAAATGATGTAAAACTTTCCGATTTTATTAAAGATAAGTGGTTAAAACTTGGTGAATTAATTAAATAACTAAATCATTTAAAATATAAGATAGTTAAAGCACAGATCGGGCATATATGTAAAGATCAAAAGTTTGCTTGAATTGAATGACTACCTGATAGTGATAAGAGACATGAGCGGTGAAATCAACTGATAAACCAATAGACATTAATACTGCGACCATAGTTACTGGGTCCAGGTCAAAATGCCACCAAGACAAAAATCCAAATACACCTAAATGGCAAAAAGATGTAATTAAGGGAACTAATGCTGCAATATAATAATTATCCAAAAAAGTTGTCCCTTAGCAACTGTTTCACTAATCACTATCTATAGACAGATAACTACTGATTAACATAGGAGTCGAAAAAATTAATTCCCAGAGGTCAATTAATGTAAATAAATAAAACTGTACCATTTAGAAGTTATTTGTTTAGGTAATTATTGAGACAAGAATTATTGTTTAAGAGAAACAAATGCCCACAATCATAAGTTTAAAAATGAAATAAGACTAGTAAAAATGATTAAATTACATCATTATCGACTTAAAAGATTAACAATTACTTAAACAAATAATTGATCTAAAAAATTTCAGGTAGGTGACAATTACATAAACAAATAATCTAAAATAAAGCAAAAATTTTCAGATACATTCATACAAGCATCCACTAACAGATATCGAATAAATTACAAGTTTAATTAACTGTACCTATCCAAACAACTTCTTATGAACTATAACTATTAACAGTGCTGTATTTTTACCGAGACTTATGGATGCAATTGCGATAGAAGCCGTTATGATACTACATGGATTCGGGATGAATAACGCACAAACAACCGTCATACAGATTAATGTTAATGCACCGGTCTGGAATTATCCATTAATACATTATTACTAGCAATAAGCTTATTTAATATTAAGCAAATTACTGAGGCATTCACTAAATAGTTGAATAAAAGATGCAGTTTTTAATGATAACTACTTATAAAATAAATTTTTCCATAAATCATAGCCAAAAACAAACAACTTAACTACAGGACATTTATTTACATCTTACATATAAACAATAAATGAAGTAAATTAATGGATAATTAAGTAGTCAAATAAATATTTTCATGACAATGTAAATCATATCATTCTTTACCTGTATCGCAACTGTTTTCAAACTAAGCATTTGGTCCACAAACATTCCATTAGCCTCCCAAACTGTCACGTTCAAATCCTTAAATGTACATGAAAAAAAAGGGAATGATTTCTATTTATTTTAAAAAATAATGCAAATTTTAATATTATGAAATAAATAATAGCTATTCAATTTATAGCAAATATTTTCTTGCTGTTATTAAAAATTTAAATATTTCACTTTGTAGTTGTCAGCAATTTCACGCCATTTCTCCATCAACTCAATTCGTACTTCCCATGTTGACGTATTCCTATACGCGACAACGAACCAAAAACGTTTTACTCGAACTCCATCCCTATAATATAATAACATATTAGTAAAAGAGTAATTTTCAGTTTAATTTCTAATTTTAAAAATAATTTAATTTACTTTGTATTAGCAACGATCATACACGTGTTCCAGTGTACATAAAATGGTGATTCAAGAAAGCTTTCCAGTTTGTCGAAGTCAAGACCCGTTTCAGAATGCGAAGCTTTATTGATTGATTTAGTATCTTCCAAATCAAGAAATGACCATATCGATAACATGAGATCTCCATGCTTATAATAATGTTCATAGTCGCGAAGCCACAATAACGTTGAGGTATTTCCTATAAAAAGTATTGAAGAATAATTTCGATAAAATTAAGGAAAATTTGAAAATTTCAATGTTCAATTCCTTAGTTACTTTTGGAAACAACAATTAGACGTGGCATCACTATCTCTTATTTTAACTCACCTCTACATAATGGTAAACTTTCAAAATCATTGACAAGCTGCCAAAATCGTTGCATTGGTTGTTGTTTTCTTATATCCAATGGATTATTTACAAGCACCGTTACCGGATGATATTCATCCCAAACTGTAATTCTATATTTTAGCCATGAAAATGTCGTAAAAATGATGGCAAAATTTAATATGCTTAAATTACGAAAGATAATACTTAAACAAAAGTAAATTTGAGAGCACTGTTTATTGAGCAAAACAACGACTTTTTTTAGTATGAAGAATTAAGTTAATCAAAAAATAAGCTTAACAAGAAACTGAGAACATACTGATATCATTAAGTATCCGATTCGGCCTTTGTATCGGTGAATCTCGAGGTAAAATTTTCACCGTATCAAGCCTAGTTTTTATAGTCATTGCTCCAATGATAGCAAAGTACCAGTAAATAAGCACTGCAATAAATAAAAATATCGTGAAACATCGATGTTCCAGAATACGGCAATACATTCTTAGAACCCATTTCATAAAGGTATCAATCTAAAATGAAGCAAAGAAATTTGTAACTTCGCTACCAATGTAATTTCAACTTTTCAAAACTTCAGATCTGAATTTTAAAAATTTCAAAATTTGAATTTCAAATTTATTAAAATTCCTTTATCTTCTTGAAAATTTATTCATTTATCTCTTGTAAAATTATATTATTGACTTATAAACGCATATATAATACAGAACACATTCGTTATTTAATCCGTAATGAACTTCAATAGAAAGAAATGGAACCTGTAAACGCCATCCATACAATAAGGATTTCTGTGAACATGATGATACAGTATATTTATTATTACATTTTTCGCAATGTGAAGCTAATGCCAGTACAGGTCCAAAGAGAATTAATTCATATAAATAATCCAATCCCATTGCAATAGCTGTTGACACACAAAATAATCGTATTTCTAAAAAAAAAATATAAATAAATAAAAAAAATTGAAAAAGTTATACTAATTTAAAATATAAATTAAATAATTAATTAATTAATTGAAATCGAAAAAAACAAGTCAAAGGATGAATCATTCTTATGTGATTTAATATTAAATACAAAATAGAAATAGCACTAAAATTGTAATATTTTGATTGATTTTATAAAATTAACTCTTAAAAAGATATTGAAACTTAAAAAAATATTAAATTAAATCAATTAAAATATTATTCTTAAAGATTTATTAAATAACAAAATTAAAATATTACTAAGATATTACTAATTAAAATATTACTAATAATACGAAAAAGTAAGTATTACCTGGCGTAGGAGTTAGAGCACCAATACTGAATGAAATGAAATTAGTTAAGGAAGTAATTGTAATAGAAGGCCCTACTTCTTCGAATACTAAACCAAGTCGAACACTAACACTATTCGTTTGTAAGGCTAAACGTTGCCATGGATGAATCATTAGGAATGCATCATCAACACCTTAAATTTTCATTCATTCAATTTAATACTTTTATTTCAAAATTTTGAAAAAGAAATTGAATTTGAAGATTTGAAATGTTTTCTATCCAATATATGCAAAATATATAATAAAATATTATATGTAAAAGTAAATAATATTCAACGATTTGTTAATGATTATCATTTATTTATCTATTAGAAGCACTTTATCGATTAAATTTATTTCTTTATTTACTTTTATATAATATAAATTAATGAGAAATATCTAAAAGTAAAATTCTGTAATAAAATATAGGAAAAAACACAATAATAATAATAATAATAATAATAATAATACATAAGTTATTTTAATAAAAATTTAATTTTTTAAAATGTAAAAATTCTTGAAAAGAAAGAAAGTGATTAAAAAGATAATTCAAACGAACCAATGCCCATAATAAGGAATGGCATAACAAGCATAAGCGAATTTATTCTAATACCAAAAAGTGATACGATACCGTATGTTGATGTAATTGAAAGTATTGGACATAGAATGGAACCAAATGCCACCAAAACTTTCCCCCAATCCATCGCATTATAAAAAATTGCGCTAGCAAAAACCGTAACAGTTACAAAAAATATCATAAAACCAAAACCTGAAATTTTCAACAATAATAGAAATAAAATTCGAAATGCTAACTGTTGGTTGATATGAAGAAGAAGTAAATGAAGTGTTTTAAAATAGTATAGGTTAATATTGGGTGCTGATAATTAATTAAATTAATATATGGAAAATATATAATACTGAGTTAAACATGTGAAATTAAAAAATTTACCATTTTCAAGAGATATTAATTTAAGTAAATTACGCAATAGAATTGATGCAAAAGGAGGTGATAATGAAATATTAGAATTGATAAAAAAAACCTGCAGCAAAGAAAGGTGCAAGTTTTTGACCATCTTTGATCATTTCTTGATTAAGAATCTCTGTGCCAATTACCTAAAATTATTAAAAGCATTTCATTTGAGAAAATGTATTATTAGTTTTTAATTTCAGTGGAAATTCTCATTTCAATGATAACCTCCATGTCAATTAAATGGTTTTTGTAGTGTTCTCGAGCAAATTCGAAAACAGAAAGCTCCCATAATGATAGCTTTCGTTCCATTTCGAGGGATGATCGATCAGCACGATAAAGAGCCAAAACTACCTTAAATTCGAAATGAAGTCTGAATTGCTCAGAAATTCAGAATCATATTACAATAAATATAAATAGTTGTCAAGAATGAAATACAAATTTTTTTGACAATTGATTACTGTAATTTATTCAAAAAAAGTTTAAAAATATCAAATTTAAACTTACTTTAACAAACTGCAAGTTTGAAACTAATTGCGCATAGGATGTATTTGGTGGTAATTTATCGACCGTAACATTTTGGCCAACAAACATATCCTTTTTGGGCGCTTCTTTTATAGTAATCCCAAAAAAATTCCTCTCCAAATGAATATTAAAGCCATCAATTTTCGCTATCGGATATGTTAGAGATGTATCATGGGAAAGTGGTTCACCGTGTTGTAAATGAAGTCGTTCCACATCAACACCTTGCTGTTAAATTAATCATGATAAATTCATTAAATAATTACTAATTAATAAATAAAGTAAAATACAGCAATTGGCATCAAAGGTGTCATAAATTGTTAAAGAAATTGCATAAATAATGGAATTATTCAAAAATCGCTGCATTCTAAAATTATAATTCTACATTTTTACTAATTTTTCTAGAAATATTAGAAAAATTTCGGCTATTATTAAGTGAATGAAACTTACTAAAACAGGAAAATCTCAAAAAAATGATTTAAAAAGGTCAAATGCTAATTGCCAAATTTTTTTCGTCAAATAAGCAGCAATACATTTAATACGATAGATCTAACCTTAATTTCAATTATAATTAAAATTCCATCCCAGGTAAATTTGTATTGTAATATTTATTAGTCTTTTATAATTGCTAATTACCTCAATCATATCTTCCTTATCTTTATTCCAAAACTTCCATCAAATCTATCTTATCATAATTTTAGTAAGTATAATAATTGTATCACGTAAAACTATTTTACGGGTAAGTTTTAAATGTAACCAATCAAAAATTGCAGATAATATGCAATTATCGTAATATGCAAAAAATTTCGATGATAAATTAGCATAGCACATTGGAACGATAATGTTAGTAAAATAGTTGTTATTGCAATGACATAAATAATTTATTTGTTAATCCATGCAGTTAAATATTAAAGCATACATTTTGCAACAAATTAATACACTGACCAATTAATGGTACTATTGAATTTATCACCAAAAATTGATAAATATTTACCTTAAAAAGTTTTAAAGCGATATTCATCTTACAGTAAGGTGAACAAAAATTTTCGTATATAACTGGCTCATTATCATATATTACACTATGATTTTTCATCAAATAAACGGTCAAACGTTCAACTTCGTTCAAATAATCATCACGTAACATCGATCCATTATCTTTTGCTGTTAATAATACTACCGTAACCATCGGATCGCCTAGAAAGTAATTTATTATTATAATTATAATAATAAGTATTATAAATGTAATGATAAATAAAAATAAATAAATACTTTATACTTTTGTTTAATATTCGTTTAACTTCTGGAAGGAAATTTGAGAATTAAAAAAAGAAAACGGCGCTAATATCTCATCAGTAAGAATATTCATTACAAATATAAATATCTTTCTATCATATCGATCAATTAAAGCTTGTTTGACTGGTAATAGAATTTGAATAAGCATAATACTCATATTATTTCTGCTTGCTAAATGTTTGAGCTAAATTTTGAGTGAATTAAAAAGCGATAATCTAAATAATGCAATTTTAATCATTCATTTTAAAATGAAATTCGGGAAATTTTTGAGTAAACATTCGGCTGTTCATAAAATTTTTACTAATAATCATTATTATTTAATTTAATTATTAATCGATGATTTTTTTGTTTTAACTCATTGGATACATTGTATTTTTGTTGCATTCTATACTTCTTCTAACATTTGTTACATTTCAAAATATCTGATAATTATTTCTTTCAATGTAATTACAATATAAAATTTGTTTCGAAGTACCGGTAGAATTCCAAAATTCCCGTAACACATCCATTTCATATCTGGATGGTGCATTTGTTGGCGTATAACCATCTCGTATTCGATCACGTAAAACAATTTTAAACATACCAAATGAACTTGTTGAGATCAATAATGATAAAAGAATGTATACTATCGGGTAGGAGCCAACATTTTCACCTAAATTTTCAGATAATGATTTAAACTGAAAGTAGAAGATTTAAAATTAAAACTTATATAATTGAAATTACAATGATAATAAATTTTAGATCATTAACATAGTATTTAACACTAACCATCCAAAAGATTATATTTACCACACTATCACTCCTTTGGATTCTCTCTTTCTCTTGGCTATGATATATAACCAGTTCAGAGATTATCGGAATAATAAATTGCAAGAAAAGAAGCATGATACAAAAATGATAGATAAAAGGAAGTGATAACATACTGAACTCAGAATAAATTCAGTAATAATGTAATGAGTGTTGATAAACAATTTCTTTCCGCATAAATTCACTGATATTAATAAATGATCGAAAAGGTGACAATTAGCATGAAATTGAAGAAATATTTATCAGGAAAGATAACTTCATATTTATATCATTTCGCAAACTAACTAAATGTTGTAATGATTTTACCTAAAAGTCGAAATAAACCTCGAAGCGTGAGATACCTCCATAAGGAAAGAAGTTTGCTACGTCGTGAATCACTTGTGCGCCCTGAATTTCCCACTGAAATAGAATAGCAAATGGTTTATGAAGTTCAAATTACAGTATTTTGTTGTTGCAACCAGTACCAGCATTGTTATAACCTTTCATACAACATTTTGTTTTAGGAAATTTTTTCTTATTTTTTCGAATTTCCTTCGTATCAAGTTAACATAAAATTCTGATATTTCTTTCATATCTCTATGATAACAACAATTTTTAATATTTCGATTTGTGAAAAAAGAAATGAAAAATATAATTTAATCAGTAAGTAAATTAAACTGAAATTATGTTGAGTTTAATTTTCAATTGATTAAATTTATTCAAAATTGACCGTGACAAGTAATTTGAAGTTTATTGAATGCCTGGATTGATTGGTCATTCCAATATGTCAAGTTATCTGTTCTTTCCGTATGATTGTTATCCGAATCATTCTTCAACGTATCGTTCCTTTCTATTTCCGAATGTTCGTCGATCATCAAAAGCGCCCCATCGACTGTTTCTTCTGAGCTTTTCAGTGACATCTTCTGTACAGCAATATTTCACCTGATTTTTCCTCTTTTTTAATTCTTTAGCCACTTCATAATTTTCGCCTTCCTAAAAAAATGAATGAACAATAATTTACTGTTAATTACTACGAAAAAATAAGTAACGTTCTTCGTCCACGAGCTTTTATAAAAGCTAAACAAATATTCAAACTGTAGTTTACATATTCATACAAAAACTCCGCTTACTCACAAAGGGATTTATCAATAATATCATCAAGCATTTAGTAGAAGCAATATATAAAAATAATTTTTAAAACGAAGAAGCTAAACTTCAGCTGATATTTCATTACAATATAGCAATGAGTTAAGGCTATTACAGCAGAATTAATTACTGATTCCTAGGAAATTTTCTAGAAAAAAAAGTAATTGCTATCATATTATTATCACATGCAGATTGCATACAAAAACTTATCCATGTGATAATGATATGATAATAATTACTTTTTTTTTTCTAGAAATCGAAAGGATTGATAAATCAGTGAAATTGAGGTATAACTGATCCTTTGGTATCAAAGCTTGCATTTTATAGCTTTGATATTATGCATTATCTATCCATTAACAAAAAGAACAATCGACAAGAATATCAACCATTAACATTACATTCTCACTAATAATATATGATTTTTTTGAAACATCAAGCCGATCAAATCGAAAGGCTAAAGATATTCAAATTTCAACAAAAATGTAGAGGAGAAATTGTTGTGTGTTAAAATGGAAAAAGTAAATTGAAAATTTCAACAAATTTATGCCATATAACCTTCAGGAAAATAAAAATACAAATAATTATAGCACTAATTATAGCATTTAAGACTATTTACTAATAGAACCAATGAGCAAAATATTTAAAAGATATTGTGATACATTAAACAATCATCATTCGTTTACTCAGAAAAGGTAGTTTTTATATCGTCATGCTTTTTGATATATATGTGGGAAGAGGTAAGATAAGTGAAGAGACGTGAGATAAGTAAAGATTCGATGTTAAGGTTAGTGCTTCGTCAATATACAACAAATTTTTCGGCTATAGTGATATAAGTAACACGACTCGATCGGTAATACTGGTTGCTGTTTTAGAAAGAGATGAATGAAAATTGACATAAACATAAAGAAGAAAGCTAAATGCTTTTCCATGTCTTCCCGTCTTTTAAATTTCAAATAAAGGAAGAAAGAAGAAATGTTAATGCTCTTCGTAGCATAAAGAACAATTTCAACAATTATCAAAAATATATAAAAAGAAATTTTGGCAGACTATAGTAGGCAAGAAATGTTTCAATAGCCTTGGAAATTTTCTCAATAATCTTCAGTTATTTTGTTTTACGGTTAAATGACTTTACCTTTCTTATTTCACTATTTGACGAATTTAATATACTGAAATTTAATGATCAACTTTTGTTAATTAGCTGCACTCTCATGAAATGAAATGCAGAATTAGGAAACCTGTTTACACACTGCAATTAAACTCCTAAAATATACTTTTTCTCGGCTAAAAAAAACGTTTGATGTTCAAGATAATGTATATATTAAACGTAAAGTTTTTGTACGTAAGTGTATTTTAACGTATATTACGCAAAAATGATAAGCATATCTAATATTAATTATCATCCAGTTTATAAATACGGCAACTTCACGTATAGCCAAATATGGTTATATATGATATGAATGCACAAGAACTTTTTAAACATACAACAGTTGGATGTCAATAATTTAAACACTGCCCTAAAACAGCAATTGAAAAATTAAACACTGTCCTAAAACAGCAATTGAAAATGAAAAAAAATTGCAAATATTGAAAAAACGAATTGTTTATATTTCAATCAAAAAAATTATGATCGATAGAAATTGCAAATTGACCGCAATTTAATTCTAATAATAAATTCAAAATGGTTTTTATTCAAAAATACAAACACTTATTTGATAATTAATAATTTATGAATAAAAGGAAAAAGCATTTAGTTATCATTTTTAAAATACATTCCATCTTAAATGTTTTCACCTAAAATATAATTATAATATAGTTTTGTTTATATTTCACAATACAAATATATGTATGCTATTATGATTCTATTCTTTAACCAGAAAGTTCAATACAATTCCTATTAATATGATAAGTTCAAATGACATGAATTTTGTATTTGTATATGTATGAAGTGATGTGATCGATGACTTTTCTATATGGATCAAAAATGAGATGATACTTGGAGCTCTTCTATATCTAATAAAAAAAAGATACTATAAAAGATTGGTTATTTATTTAATTCATCAAATATCACCCAAATAATGACTCATTCATGAGCAAAATGATAACATAAGATTATCATATTTTAAAAACTGATAATAAAAAAGAGAAAAGAAAAAAGCTGTTTATCTATTTGGTATACTAACAGTTCTATTGTTTGCATATCAAAATTGTTCAAACAATATTTATTTTTCCTACTCTTTCTCCCCTCCTATCTATTTCCTGCCAGAATTTTCCATTTATTGAAATTAAGCTAAAAGAGACGACCTTATTATCATTTCTATCACAATCTCTCCTTCCTTCATTTTATGCTAATGTTAATTTATTTCTCTTATAGAAAATGGAAAAAAATCAATTACTGATTAATAACTTTCGATAATCGTCTCATTTTTTTTAATTAATTAATTAGTAATAATATTGTTACATTTAATTTAACATACCATTTCGTTTCATTTCTGAAAGATAAATTTCGCCAGCAATTTCTTCGTTTTATTCAATGCTATTTAATATCAAATGTTTGTTAAAACAAACATTCATTCATCTATTCCTCTCTACCTTCCCCATTCATTAACATATCATCTAAACAAGCTCATCGATCTAACTGGCAAGCATTATTTGCATAAATCAGTCGATGGGAATGAATGATCTGGCAAATTGCTTTATAGTTAAGCTTTCTCTGCATGCACATACAGTACACTCATTCATCGATGCTATCAATATCAATCATTATCATCTCATAATCATTTATTTTGTGAAAAATTTCCGCTTTCATGTAATGTAAAGTAAAGAATCACTTTAGAGATATTTTATTATCAAATGTTACGGAAGTTAAGTTATCTAATCATTTCATAATGTACGAAAATTAAAATAGCCATATGTATAAGATTTCATCTTTCGATAGCTTGCATGTTGTAGCCATATGTAAATATAAAGTTTCTAAATATAAATTATGTCTATATGAGATTAATCGAGAAACCAGAAGCACACTTCGGAATTAATAGAACAGAAGAGAAGAGGGACAGAACAGAACAGAGCAGAAATTCGTCAATTCGATAGTTGCATGATGAAATGTGATGGACATTTTTCAGTTATTATATATATTTTTAACTCTTATCGCTCTTTCTGTTTTTGTTGCTATCGAAATGGCAAAAATTGAAAAAGAAACAAAGAGAACTTTACAAGCAAAAACAATAATGACAGATAGGAATAAATAAAGAAAACAATTCGAGCATATTTATTATTCGCAAATGCTTTCATATGCAATTCATTTAATAAAAGTTTAATAAATGAATGAATCACCTTTCATCATTTCTTCTTCCTTACAGCTTTCATATTTTTCTGTCATTTGTAAACAGTTAGTAAAATGCAAAAAAGAATATGAAAAATAATTCCCATTTATCATTTTATTGTTGATCAATGATTCGATAGGTTGTTTTTTTTGCATTTGCGTTTAATAAAAAGCGGAAAAGATGGCAAATGATGATTATTCGAGACATATAAATGTCATCAGGAATTACGGATGATAATAAATGATATGTCAACATAGTTATATAATGGCTTCAAAGATATAAATGATTTTAACTAACTATCGATAAAATGATCCATCTAATTCTGCTTTCATTGAAGCTTTGTTTCATTACTAATTGGCAAAAAAACTTAACAGAATGAATTTCACTTCAGATAAAAATAAATAATATTTGACATTTATCCGGCATTACCTTAAGTATTTCATTTAAGATCCGGAAAAGTTACCGTACCCTTATGAAACACTGATTTATTCTTCTCTACGATTCAAAAATCATTTGGAAGCAGAAAAAGATAATCTTTTTTGTAAATAGAAAAATTCAGCTTATTTATTATGGAAAATGAGAATTGCATTAATGCTTTCAGTGATAAGATTAAGATATCAAATTGGAACTAAATGAACACAGTTTTTTCCTACCCATTGTTATTTTTCAACTTTTAAAATTCATCATCCAATATTAATCTCAGACTAAGGGAATTAATCAAGGAATTTAACTTTCTACAATTAAAATTTTTCAATTATGACATGCTATGTCTGATATCTTCATATTAAAATGCAGTAAAAACTTAACCAAGCAGATAAGCTTATCATGCTTCAAAACCTTGTCATGTTTCATGCATCCAATATAAAATTATATCAAAGATTTAACTTATTATAAGCAGACAAATTTATCATATGCTACGAACAATTTGCTATGACCAATTCAGCATACTTTCGGTTAATTTGATAAATATTATATTAAACTCTATCAAGATTCCCGGGAAATTTGGTTCGTCTAAAAGCAAATGTCACAATAATGAAATGAAGTTCAAAAGAAAAAAAGTTGAAAGAAGGAACTGTTATAAATGGAAGTTGATGTATATCTACCAACATTTACTTTATGACTTCCACATAAAGTGCAAAAGGGTGTAATGAATGCTCCATCGTACAGGTACTTTGTTTACATAATCATTGGTTGCATTTTTTCATAGCAAAATAGTAAATAAATAATGTCTTAGTAACATATAAGTAAATAGATTTGCAAACAACTAAAGATATGAATCTCACAGATGTTCATTGAAAGTAATAGAAGGGGTGGATATCTCGACATAAATTGTTTTCATAAGGTGCTATTGACACCTTTAGATTCTGAGAATTGCTTTCCGAATAGAAAAGTTAAAGAGAAAATAAAATTTAAAATGAAAACGAAAATAGTTGTAAAATATTTGGAATAAA